TTTGTGCGTGTGCGTGTTTAAGACAGTTAGTATCCTATTCAATATAGGATACCAATAGGATACTAACTATTGGACAGTATCCAATAGAAAACGTCCTTAATTAAGAAAGTTAGTATCCTATTCACTCTAGGGAGTTAGTAATTAAGAAAGTTAGTATCCTATTCACTCCCCCCCGAAGGGGGGGAGTGAATAGGATACTAACTTTCTTAATTAGGGAAGTTAGGGAAGTTAATATCCTATTACTATCTTAGGATACTAACTAGGATACTAACTAGGATACTAACTTTCTTAATTAAGGAAGTTTACTATTGGATACTGTCCTATTGGATACTATCCTATTGGTATCCTATTCACTCCCCCCCTTTGGGGGTGATCCTATTCACTCCCCCCCTTTGGGGGGGAGTGAATAGGATACTAACTGTCTTAAACACGCACACGCACAAAATCTATCTGGAAATTAAGGAAGTTTCCTATTGGTATCCTATTGGATACTGTCCAATAGTTAGTATCCTATTGGTACGCACAAGACTGGAACCAACAACCTCTGGTCTACCAACCATTGTTCTATCTCTGTGAGCCATTGGAGCAGATGAGAAGTCCCGGCTTTTACTTGTATTTGACTTCTTCCTTAAGGTGAAGACACCTTAAAATCTATCTGGAAGGCACAAGACTGGAACCAACAACCTCTGGTCTACCAACCGTCATTCTTATCACCCTGAGCCATTTGACCTGAGAGAGTTGGATGTTCCTTTGCATATTTGACATCTCCATCTCATGTTTGAGCCTCAAAACACACAGCCCTAGCACTTTCTAGTGAATGATACATACTTCAGTCTGGGATTCACAGAGAAAGTTTGTGAGACAAAATAGCTTAGAGGTTAGAGTCAAGGACTGCAGGTCCACTAAACAAACAAAATAGGGTTCAAATCTCACACAGGCATGATCAAATAGATGCAGGAATAAATTAACAAAATAATACAGGAATAAATTAACAAAATAATATAGGAATAAATAAATGCAGGAATACATACAAATAATAAATAAACATTGTAATAAATACATTTATTATTATTATATATCATTATTTATTCCTGTGTTTATTTATTATTAAATTATAAATAAACACTATCTAATATGTTGTGAAAAACTTTTAAAAGTCATAGTATGGAATTTCTGGAATAAAAAGTAATGGTATAGTTGTTAGAAATAAAGCTGTAGTATAGTTTGTTTAAAATATGATGTAAATAGTCATAGTACAGCATGAAGAGCAATATAAAAAAGTCATAGTATAACATTTCAAAAAGATGACATACGACCTTTATTACATTTGATCTGACGTACTTCTTTATGAAATGTGTTTTATATACTTTACTTATTTTCAAGACAAACTATACTGACTTTTTTCAACTGTAACTTTAAAAAAAGTGTGACTACTATTTAATTACTTTTTAATAATTACATAGTTAAGTGTGACTTTTTTAAATAAACATTTTGTGCCTTACTAAACTGACTTATTTCCATACGCTGCTGTATTATTACTTTTACTTAAAGGTGGGGTAGGTAAGTTTGAGAAACCGGCTCGAGATACACTTTTTGTTATATTCCATGGAATGCTCTTAACATCTCGATAGCAATGAATATCTGAAGTGCTTTGACAAAAAATCCATACAAAAATCTCATCTGTGGAAGCCGTGGTGCTGTAAAAAGCACGACCAATCATCTGAGCCGGCCCGGATAAAATAACTGGATGGCCTACCTGCCTGTCAGCCTTCCATCTGTGCACAAACTTATCTCGTGCCCTCATTGGTCATGTGCGCGTTCGTGTGTGTTGGAGGAGGGGCTCTGTAAGGAAGTGGGAGATTTTTTCCGGCTGTGTATTTTCAAATTCTAGCGCACTCGAGCTGGTTTCTCCAAAATTACCTACCCTACCTTTAAGTATGAGATGCGAGTATTTTCGTAGACAGATACAAATAATGGACAGATATCATGAGTCGTAGTCTCATCCAAGACAACTGCAACAAAAGCAGTGGTGTATTTGAACAAAGTGCATTTACTCAAGTACTGTACTTTTACAATTGAGGTACATGTACTTTACCTGTACAGTTACACTACTTAATACATATACTCCACTACATTTTAGAAGCATGTTGCTAGCTTGCAGCTAACTTATGCTAACATGTGGTACTTCTCTGGGCTTCTTCACTTTGAGTAAAGGACTTTAAAAACCACTGTGCATCACAAGGATTCAAACACACAACTTCAGGTCTTCTGACCTGTCACATATCCCTCTGAGCCATTTGTTTTTGGACCTTAAAGATGACTGCACCTGAAAAGCCTTCAACCCACAACCTGCAGTCTCACAGTCAGTCTTCTATCCCTCTGAGCCATCTGACCTGAGAGATAAACCTTTCATTTGGTAAACTCATTCTCAACTTTGGGTTTGAGATTTTGAAAACTCCTGCGCCTCATGAGGATCGAACCCAAGACTTCAGCTTACCTGAGCAGTGTTGTATCACTCTGAGCTATTGTTGGTGTTTGCTAGATTTTGTCAAACAAAGAAAATGTGAAAAAAGGAAATAAAACAAGTCCTAGTGCAAACAGTCAGAGTTAAGTATCTAGAAAAGAAAGGACTAATCTATCCCCTAATTGAGCTCAATGTTTACATTACCCGTATTCCTCTATGCTTTTCTAGTTGGTCACCTATCCTATCTTGTAACTCTATTTATTCTACTTTTCACCTAATTTGTTGGCCTATTTTATTTCTCTATTTTGGACCTATTTTATTAGCTACCTTGCCTCTAGTAGACTCGAACCCCGCACATGCTAAGCAGCGGATCTGTTCCCAGCACTTAGGCGCCTCATTGCGCACTAAGTCACCTAAGTGCCGAGAACAAACCCAAATAGCCACCAACTCATGTACATGAAGACCTGTTCTCTGGGCGCATTTATCCTCATCATTTTGAGTAAAGCTCTTTAAAAATCACTGAGCATCACGAGGATTCGAACACACAACCTCAGGTCTTCTGACTTGTTACATATCTCTCTGCGCCATCTGTCCTGAGTCATCATTGTTTCGTAGAGCTTATGACCTGCTCATTTGGCTTTTTGGACCTTAAAGATGACTGCACCTGAAAAGCCTTGAACCCACAACCTGCAGTCTCACAGTCAGTCTTCTATCCCTCTGAGCCATCTGACCTGAGAGGTAAACCTTTCATTTGGTAAACTCATTCTCAACTTTGGGTTGGAGATTTTGAAAACTACAAGGTGAGGGACCACGCAGTCTTCGTGATCTGTGTGTAGGGAGGGTCTCTCTACCTACATTAAGAATGCTAAACATATATTTATGTTGGTGTACCTTGCATAACGGCATGAACCCGTATGGCACAATACAACTCAGTACATTGTTGGTCATTACGTCAATTTTATACCCTTTCTTTAGTAGAATTGTATAAATTGGAAGGCTAACTAGGTAATCAGCTCGCCGGTGAACTGCGTGTTAGAAAATATGAGATTTTTTTTTTTTCAATGCCGTTCGATCGACCGACGTATTGGGCACCCCTGCAGTCTGAGCCATCTGACCTGAGAGATAAACCTTTCATTTGGTAAATTCATTCTCAACTTTGGGTTGGAGATTTTTTTTATATAAGGTGGACCCTTATTTAAATATATATATATTTGTATATAATAGCATAGTATGTCAGAAATGCCATACAAACCAATGATGGGAAGGAAACAACATAGTATATCATTTCCAGATATCAGAAAAAACAACACGTATGTCCAAAATGTAAATACAAATAGCATAGTATAGTTTTTTGGAAAATATCAGAAAAAGTTAAAATATAGAACCTTAAGTTGTAAATATATTTAACAATCCTGACTCAAATATATGCTCATTTAATTAATTTCTTGTTTTAACAGTTACTTATATTTTTTACATTTGACCTTTAATTTGATTATCCTTGTGTGAATCTGTACTGTCCTGCTTTTCACTCTCACTCGTCCGAAACAAACTACATAGCAACATGGAAATTGTAAATTGTAAAGTAGATTTAGTCAAGTACTTTACAACTTTGAGGGACTTGTACTTTACTTGAGTATTTCAATTATTTGCTACTTTGTACTTTTACTCCACTACATGTATTTAATCCCTTTAGTTACTTCACAGATGTGGATGAATGATGTGAAATATAATGAAGTGTTAAATCAGACTTTAGTTCCACCTGGAGTAAATTCACAAGCTACCCTGCAGTATACAAAGTCATTCAAACTAGCTGCACCTTTACCAGCTTTGAGAACACTTTCATGATCAATCATTATAAAACATATCATATATATTATTCTGAAATGGACCAATCTGCACAATGACTATTATACTTTTGGTACTTTTACTGATACTTGTGTATTTTTATTTGAGTAACATTTTGATTGCAGGACTTTTACTTGTACAAAGTATTCCTACACGCTGGTGTGAGCGGGTCATGTCCTCATATTCAGTTTGTTCACAGAGGGGATTCATGCATCCAATGCTTCTCTAATGTAAAAGTCAGTTTACTTCACTTTAAAAAATATATGTAATGTAATAATACACTGCACATTTCTTGTATGTGTGTATTATATTCATTTTCTTTTAAATCCTTATATATTAATTCCTTTTTTTTACAATTTAATCACTGTGTTTTTGTATGTGTAAACCAACTTAGTAATAGACATGATTCTGAATCATTGGACTAGACACACACACACACACACACACACACACACACACACACACACACACACACACACACACACACACACACACACACACACACACACACACACACACACACACACACACACACACACACAAATTAAACACTGGCAGGACACTGGATCAAAGTTAACATTTATTGTATCTTATATTTTATTGGATTTAAACAAATGTAACATTTTTGACGTCAACACATCTGGATTGTTGCAAAAAGAGTCATAGTATAGTATGTGGAAAATATATTTAAAAATATTTTTGCAATATAGTCAGATGTGTGTTCTCCTCTGTAGGATGATGTGAGGACTCAGGAGGCGCTTAGCTGATCACAGCTTAGTAAAGTGTGTGTGTGTTTGCAATCATGTCTTTCGCCCAGTGAGACGACAGCGACACAGACCTGACCTACGGAGAGGTGGGGGGGGGACAGACACACACAGCACTCAGGTGGAAAACACAATACTTAAACTTCACAAGTAAACATCCAAGGGACACACAGTATAAGGACGGGGCCTCATTTATATAGTGATTCTCTGGCTTTTTCTGAAATCGCATCATATCAGGATAATATTACAATGAAGTCCCTTGGCAGGTACACATATAACAATAAACAAACAATTAAAATATGACATCTTTATCACACTAACAATTACACAGACAAATTAAAGTACTGATCTATAAATAATAATACAAATACCAGCACATTTATTAGTACAATAGTAATGTAACGTTAAAGTAACATTACTAGTTATAGAAAAGTAACGTTAAAGTAACATTATAGTAAAGTAACGTTACTAGTAATAAAGTAACGTTACGTGACGGAACGTAACGTTACTAGTTACGTGACAGAACTAGTTACAGACTCAGTGCAAAAGCATTTTCACAGACTGAGCAGCTGAATGGTTTCTCTCCTGTATTTTACTATAACGTTATAGTTATTAGTTATAGTAAACTAACGTTAAAGTAACGTTCGTGACGGAATGTTTTTGTGTAAAAGATTTCTTACAGACTGAGCAGCTGAATGGTTTCTCTCCTGTGTGTATTCTCATGTGTCGATGTAAAGTTCCTTTCAGTGCAAAAGCATTCTCACAGACTGAGCAGCTGAATGGTTTCTCTTCTGTATTTTACTATAACGTTATAGTTACTAGTTTATAGTAAACTAACGTTAAAGTAACGTCACGGAACGTTTTTGTGTAAAATATTTCTTACAGACTGAGCAGCTGAATGGTTTCTCTCCTGTATTTTACTATAACGTTATAGTAAACTAATGTTAAAGTAACGTTAGTTGTTATAGTAAAGTAACGTTAGTAGTTATAGTAAAGTAACGTTAAAGTAACGTTATAGTAAACTAACGTTAAAGTGTAACGTTAAAGTAACGTTACGTTAGTAGTTATAGTAAAGTAACGTTGAAGTAACGTTATAGTAAACTAACGTTAAAGTGTAACATTAAAGTAACGTTATAGTAAACTAACGTTAAAGTGTAACGTTAAAGTGTAACATTAAAGTAACGTTACGTGACGTTAGTAGTTATAGTAAAGTAATGTTGTAGTAACGTTATAGTAAACTAACGTTACGTGACGGAACTTACACTGCTTCTGTAACACAATAATTTCCCAAATTGGGATAAATAAGGTATATCTATCTATATTCTATGGCACTCATGCTACATTATGCCTTTTAATTTGACATATTTGTATGCCACTATCTTTTACTATACTATGGCATTTTCCTACAATGCTACAACTACAACAACTATTAACCCTAGATAATCTGATAATTACCAAATGTTTATCCAGTTCTCATGTTCCATCAGTTCTCTTCAGCACAGTGCAGTTTCCTTGAAAACACAGAAAAGATAGGTGGTTCTTAGAACGGGTGTGCATACTTACCCTAACCCTTATAACATGACAAATGGGACCTTTATCTGCATAGAACATTTACAAAGACAATTTGAATCCTGATATGAGGATAATTTACACAGAGTATTCTTTATTGTCAACACAATGTTCCCATTAACACATGCCTAACCTTAGGGCATACATGAACTAGTTTATTTGTATCTTAACAAGGATCTTTACCATATAAACAACTAATCATATGTTAATGTGCCGCTGAGCTTATCAACATCCTGCTTTGACCTTTATACTTCAGTCTAGCTCTCCAAATCGCACCTTTGTTTCCCATCCATCATTCTTCCATCTGCTTCAGGCTGGTCAAGAATACACACACTGCAGCACATACATTTAATTTAATTAGAGCATGTGCAGCCTCCTTCTCTGTCAGTATTGTCAAGGCGCTCGGGAGCAGCCAACACTATCACTGATTGCTTCTAGATAGGAAGAAATATGATTAGACCACGTGTCTGTCTGTGTGTGTGTGTGTGTGTGTGTGTGTGTGTGTGTGTGTGTGTGTGTGTGTGTGTGTGTGTGTGTGTGTGTGTGTGTGTGTGTGTGTGTGTGTGTGTGTGTGTGTGTGTGTGTGAGAGTGGTGGAAGACATCTGATTGTTAGTGGTGAGAGCAGAGGTAAGCTGAAGGGTTGAAAAAGGACAAGGAGATGATTGAATGGTAAAGTGGACAGGGAAAGATGGAGGGGTTACCTTTTTTTCCTAAGAAATGATATTAGCCTTATGTTTGTGGGCAATAGCTTTAAGATCTACAGTTTTACTGACTTATGTACAGTAATACATCCTAAGATTCAAGACATTATACTTAATAAAGTTATTAATTATGATGAACTGAAACTTTGGATGTTTGAATTCAATTTGGAAGTGAGACTATTCTTCATCTTCTCATATCTTTCTCTTAAAGAAAGCAATTAGCATATTTCCAAATAAGAAGTTTGTATCGGTCTCCATAGCTTCACATGGTCACAGTTGATGTAGAGGAAAGGGTCGATAGAGAGAGGATGTGAGGAGGAGGAGGGAAGATCCCTAATCTTTCATTATTAGTTTGATTTAGAGATGGACGGGAGGTAAACATGAAAGCTTTGATTCTCTGTGTAATAAGATTAGTGTTATTAAAGGGAGGAGGGCAGCTTGAGAGGGAGGGAAACATGGAGGAGAGGATGAAGAAGTGACCTTTTTTAAGGATGAGGTAAGGAGAGAGGGAGAAACCCCGCTGAGGAGTGGTGAAAGAAAAAAGGAAGGGAGGTGAGGGAGGGGAAGACAGAGGGAGGGGAGAGTGACCCCAGCGAAAACAGATTAGTGGAGCATGAAGAGGATTACCAGCAATGATAGTCCCTCTGAGAGCAGCTAGTGCCAGCCAACACACACACACACACACACACACACACACACACACACACACACACACACACACACACACACACACACACACACACACACACACACACACACACACACACACACACACACACACACACACACACACACACACACACACAAAAGTGATCAGCATCAGTCCAACCTGTCTGGCTAATGCCAAACACCCCCCATGTCCTGCTATACTTCCTTTATTCAACAGTGTGTCACATCAAAAATCAAGATTAAATAACAAATGCAGAGACCTATCTAAACTCTAATGGAAATCTCATCAGAGTAATGTTTCACTTCATAGACTCAGTAAGTGGTGCTCTGGTACTTGTGGTAGTACTCTGCGTATACAGTAAGGACATGCAACTTCTGAGTGCATATTTGAATATATTTTTTACTTTAACACATCATTTGGCACTTTCCAGGAGTATAAAACTGAGACAAAAAGACAGAAAACAGGACACATCACTAAAGGTGTTTATAACAAAGTATATTTGACTCTTTAAATGATTTTGTAACTATTGAAGTCATGCTTGCCGGGCCGGGAGCATTTTCAATTCTGCCAATTTTGCACAACAGCAGCAAAAACAGCTGACTGTCAACTAGTGAGGTTCAACCAGGCTGACACCTCTGTTTGTGTGTGTGTGTGTGTGTGTGTGTGTGTGTGTGTGTGTGTGTGTGTGTGTGTGTGTGTGTGTGTGTGTGTGTGTGTGTGTTTCCTAGCATTACTATACTTGTGGGGACCTAAATCTGTTTACACAGTCACGTGTGGGGACTCGCCTCCCTTATGGGGACATAATGGAGGTCCCCATGAGGGGTATCATTAATTGTAGGGTGAAGAATAGGTTAGGGTAAGGGTACGGTTAAGGGTAAGGGTTATGGTTAGGCATGTGTTGGTTATGGTTAAGGTTAGGATAAGTCTCCAGGAAATGCATGTAAGTCAATGTAATGTCCCCTGAAGTGATGTATGCATGGTATGTGTGTGTGTGTGTGTGTGTGTGTGTGTGTGTGTGTGTGTGTGTGTGTGTGTGTGTGTGTGTGTGTGTGTGTGTGTGTTTGTGTGTAGAGCTAATCCCACACAGCCCCCTCCATCATGGCTGATTTGAACTCCCCCTCTAAAAATGATTTTGTAGCGACCAAAATTTATGTGAGCCGAGGCTGAGGAAAAACAAAAATTTCTAAAACCTTAATTTAGTAAAAGTACAGACTATTATCTAAAATATTGGGAAGATAGGCAGATGTTTTCAATATAATCCACATTTACAAAGTCCCTTGTACCAATTACTGTTCAATACATTTGCAAAAAAGCGTATGTTCCTCAAAATGCAGAAAGGTCAAACAGGTAGATTACAGGCTGTTTACACTACAATCAATATCCAAACCCAATGATAAAAGACTCTAAACCTTTCCTTCTTGCTGACATTTCTCTCTCCCCCCGCTGAGGGGAGGTTCAGATATCAGGACCCCCCCTCTCTCTCCACTCATGTTAAATGAGGGCTTTTTCCTAGATTTTCTCTGCTATTGGTGGGGGGTGTCGGGCTCTGGGAAGAATGAGGACTTCCTGGGGAGGGAGGGCCTTTAAGTGCAGGCTGAGGAGTCTCCCTCTCTCTCCCCCTCTTCACACTTCCCCTCTGTGTCTCTCGCTCGCCCTAAATGGGGTCGAGCTCCCAGACAGGACCTGCTGCTTTCAAAGACCCCAAAGAGCAGCTCCCCTCCACCTGCCCTTTCCTCCCCCCTAAACAACCTTTTCTTCCTCCTTTCTCTCCACTCCTTACCTTCCTCTATTCACCCCACATCTCTCTTCTCCTACTTACATCTCTCATGCATCTAAAGCTACTGTCTTTGTTCTCTTTACTGCAGGATTAATACTTGATATATGTGTTAGCATCACATTTAAAAGATATTGTCAACTTGAGAAAAGCACTGTCAGGTTCTAATATTTAAACAACTCTTGTTACCTCGTACAATGAAGGCTTCCTGAAGGCAACATGTACACATAACCCACAGTCAGCAGGAACGTCCCACTGTAGCTGCAGATTCAAGATGTGCCGTAGCTCTGTGTGCATTGTGTTATTATATTTGCACCAATAATCCAAACGGTCACATTACTATAACGGTCAGAAGAGATTACATATTGCCAGCTTTTGGTTAATTCCTCACCTGAACACCTAAACGTTAACACAGCTGATCATTAGCCAATGAAGCAGAACCACCTGTGTAACACACACCTTCGTGCCTCAAAGGACCCTCCCCTCTGTGATAAGTAGCAACATACCTCCTTTAACCAGGCATCCATCTATCGAAAGCAGCAGATATATCCTTAAAGAAATCCATCCCGGCTGAGAGCTCTGTCATATCTGACTAATCTTTCTCTGTTCCTCTTGTTGCAAGGACACAGAAATGGAAACCAACCCAACAATCTCCAGATGACGTTCCTACTGTCCGAGCACTGAAGGGTCCCACTGCATTTTTAGTTCCTGCAGAACCCAACGTGTCCATCAGCAACACAAACTGAAACTTATCCTGATGACTTTCTGCAATAGGAGCTAAACAACTGTCCGTCCATCAGCAGCCATGTCTCCTCCACCTGTCTTTTACCCTCACCCTGACTCCCTTTAACACCACCACCCAACGGCCAGCGTGGCTCTCCGCTCGCCTCCGACCCATACTGCGTTTTATTTAATTTGTCCCGTATAACAGCGGTGAATGAAGCCCGGGGTTTAGGGCGACACAGGCAGATAAAGCCACAGACGAGGGAGGGGCACGCTGCTCAGCAATGTGCGGCAAAAGAGAAACAATAAGTGCCATTATTTTTGATTGGCTTCCCCTTTTTGAGAATGACTTCCAAAGTGTGATGTCCCATTGTGGGAGCAGAATAAGGCTGGACAATGCAACAGGGGTGGGGGGTTAGTCTTATATATCCAGGCTAATATTCAAGGGGGCTTTGGCCATTGCTGGCGGGCCTGCACTGCAGCCTGGGCCCCGGTCAGGCTCATAATGGGAGGCCTTTAGTTCCCATTGTGGCGGCTGTGTCAACAAAGAGGCCGCTGGGAGCTGCCTGGCATGTGGAAGGGAGAAAAGACCCTTTATCCCTCTCTTTTTACAGAGAGAGAGAGAGAGAGAGAGAGAGAGAGAGAGAGAGAGAGAGAGAGAGAGAGAGAGAGAGAGAGAGAGAGACGTTATCACAGCAGCTCCATACATCACCTTCTCCCTCTCTCTCGTGTCCCTGTTTATCCCGCTGATATATTGTCTAAAGGGAATAACATGTATCAGAAACAGATCACTGCTAGCTCCGTGCTACATGCTAACACTCTAGCATAGACTGTGAGTAATGAGCTCAATAGAGAGTACATATTCTTCTGTTTGTACACAAATTGATTAAACTACTGTATATATGTGTTACCCATGTTGGACTCTTACTCTCTCTCAAAGTTATAACACCATTTATTTTCACAGTTTTAGCCCTGATAGGTATCGGACATGACAACTTAGTAATCACCAATTGAATTGCTTGACTTTGTGAACAAGGCAAAGTTACTAAACAAACATTTTTAGTACTTTATCTGTGCTTTAATGACAATGGCAACATTTTCTCCCCAGTAAGGTTTATAAACCACTGATCTACTTTGCAGGATAATAATAACTGGATATATTTTGTAATATCTGTGAGTTAAGAAGGTCTGTAATCAATATGACTAATTCAACAGGTGTCTGTCAGTGTGATGTATTGTTGCTAATCTCACTTTTCCATCAACTTTGGACTTAAAACGTTCGTTATTGCACGTTTAATACAGAGTATAGATGGGTTTTCAGAGATTCACACACACACACGCACACACACACCACACACACACACACACACACACACACACACACACACACACACACACACACACACACACACACACACACACACACACACACACACACACACACACACACACACACACACACACACACACACACACACACACACACACACACACACACACACACACACACACACACACACACACACACACAACCAGTGGGTTAGCGTCAATATCACTGTCGGCCCTTTCATTTATCCAATTCCACCTGGGAAGGAGACGGACATGTGTGTTTACTCTAGATTCAATTCCCAGAGGCACACACACACAAATACACACACAAACACACACTACTATTATGTTTAGTTGCTGTGATGAACCAGCCTTGAGAAAGCAGGCGAAGCTGACCAAATAGTGGCATCCAAACACACACATGTATGCAAATACACACACGCAGAACAGCAGCACCTAAACAAACAGCCTGCGATGGTGGCACACGCCAAGCAGCTCTCATTACCAGACACACAATGAGCTGTAGACACACACACACACTCTCTCTCTTCCAGTGTACTTGCTTTATGTGTTTCGGTTAACATTCATATCTATAAATGAGTTTATTTCGAACGTCATACAGGCTCACTGCAGATAGAAATGTACAAACTTTACGCAGAGAGGAGAGCGGTATATGGCGGAAATAGGAGCATCAGCAGTTTCCTATTGTTGAGCTGACATAGATAAAGTGAGAGGGGCGAAGGGGGGGGGGGAGAGAGAGAGAGAGAGAGAGAGAGAGAGAGAGAGAGAGAGAGAGAGAGCAACTGGTCAGCATAGAAGGCAACAGAAAGAGGGAAAAGCCTCGCAGTGTTCCTCCATATGTCAGGAAAAATAGGAAACTTTAAATATCTGCTTTTACATTGGGTTTAAAATGTAAGAAGTGTATCTTTTCACTGGTTCTTTACACCTGTTGCTACATGCTTTAGCTGTGCTCATGTAGGTGTCATAAAACCGTTTGTTGAAATATAGTAACCTTCTATTTGCCACAGTCTTGAGTACACTTACATATTTTAATTCCTTAACATTTTACCTTATACAACCCTACCTGAAATGCTTTGTTCTTCCACTCTCCCTTCTCTGCTACAATTTCCTGGTCGTTAGAGGACCTTATTATCTTGTGTACACACTTCACGTATATGCACATGAAGGTAATGACGAGCCCTCCGCTGACCCCTGACCCTCATCAGAGCCACAAAGAGGCAGATAGCAGCGCGAGGACAAAAAGATGGAGAGGTTGCTTAGGGTGAGGAGATAAAAGCAGGGACATGACAGCATGGAGGGTCAGGAGCATGAAGGGGGGGAGGAAGAGAAGGTACTAAATGCAGCTTGGTTTGACTCCCCCAGGTTGAGGTTGGAGACCGTGCAAATGAAAGATACTGACTTAATTACTGACTTAACATATGCATATGGTCTGTCGGGCAGATGCAAAAAAGTAACCTAGAGAGGTCACTTTGAGCTCTTATTCTCACAATTCTTTAATATTTTATTGCTAACCAAATGAGGAAATAACAAGCAGAACATGAGTCAATGACACCTGTTGTTTGTTTAAACCCTTGATGTCCTCTATTTGGTTGGTATACGTGTGATACATTGGCCGGACCACCGAAGCTACATTTCAAATGTCTCCAAAATCCCTGCTTCAGACCGCGACTTTTACTGCCAATAAATCACAAGAAAAGACTGAAACCAACTTCATACAAGTAAGTACTGTATATATGAGACGCAAGTGAGATCCTGGACCTGAAATATTTGACATTATTGCTGAAAAAAAGGGACTAAAGTGAATAATCAAATATCTGAATAGCTGCCAAACGATTAACTGGCAATCAACTTATCGTATAACTTAACAGATAGATACAAAAAACTACTTCTGTGAGTTTTCAACCTACATTTACACCAACCTCTATTTGATATCTGAATCTGACATCATGTGATTTCTCTTCACACATCATGCCTCCCTTCACACACCTTCCTGTGTGTGTGTGTTGTGTGTGTCAGGTGTGTATTTAACTGGACAGATGATCAGGATAAGAGCGAGAAACAGCCGTGTCCATCATTCTGTCTGTCTGCATCATGGACAACGTACATTATCAACTCATCACTATGCTGTCAGCAGTCACGCACGCGCGCACACACACACACACACACACACACACACACACACACACACACACACACACACACACACACACACACACACACACACACACACACACACACACACACACACACACACACACACACACACACACACACACACACACACACACACACACACACACACACACACACACACACACACACACACACAGTTCTATGTAGTAGCACATACTGTCACTCTGCACTGATAAGATGTCCATTACGCTTCTTTCAGTCTGACAGACAACATTTTTTCGAGCATAAAAACACAAACCGCCTGCACTGTCTGTTGATCACACATCTTAAATGGACCTTAAACCGAACAAATGGAACAATTATTTCCCTATTTCTGCTATAATGGACGCCTCGTGCGTGACCTAAAGATCATTTAGCCAACGATGAAGTTTGATAATGATGTCTTCTTTTTCAAGTCATAACATCGTTCATTTTTGCAAAATACAATCCATTTCTGACACTGCAGTTTCAAACAATCGTTACTCAAACAGGAGTAAATACTTCATATGTTGGGGACTATTTTCAGCTGCGGATTAATACACACTTGATGCATCAGCTATCATTTAATGCAAGAGACTTGTCCTTTAAAGCTTACTTGTCGATAAGTGTGTCCTATATATTGTCAATCCAATCCAACAAATTCATCCAAATCCTACCAAGAGAAGCCCTTATGCAGACGGTCTCTAATTATAAGCTGCTGATTTAAAGTGCAGATGGAGGTATTGACACTTCACCTCCTTCATGCTGCACTCACACACTCAGCTGCAGCGTTTGATTGGAAACTTTTCTGCAGCGAGCGGAGGAAAATACACCTTTTGTGTCAGAGCGCACAGCAGAGAGAGAGGAACAATCACTCTGACCTTGGTATCAAACATTATAGATTTCCTTCTGCACAGAATCTGTAGCTCAAGTGTTTATCTCATTGAAAGACACACACACACAGAAACACACACACACACAGTATCAGCCTTGTGGAAATTGAAAGAGATTTAAAATTATTTCGTAGCTTATGTCCACAGAACAAAGGACCACTGATAGACACGACTAAACTAAATAATAAAGCTATATTATAATAAAATTTGACCAAACCGGGATATATTCAATTAGTTTCTGAATGCATCAATAAAACGTGAACTTAAACGTTTCTTAGAGCAACCTCACGCAATTATGGCAATCAAAATGATTGTATGTTTTTAATGTAAGCTGTTAAATTAGATAGTCAATAGCCGCGTTCACACCGGAGTACTTTTCCCCGTACTTTTCGCGTTTAGTTCCGTTAGTACCCCGTATGTCGCGTTCACACCAAAAAGAGTACTGAGTGCCGTGAACTTTTACCCCCATTTTTAGTGCCCGCTGAGAGATGGTACTTTCCTGGGGGGAAAAAGTGCCCCAGTTCTGATTGGCTGGGCGAATTGCAAACCACGCCCCGTACAACTCTGAAATGTTTTGTAGAGCTGCCATTTTATTATCTTTGCATTAGCATTATTAGCATTAGCATTCGCCCAGCGCACAAACGCAGAGAGACTAACTTATGGCAACACAAAATAAAACATGGGAGCGGTGGAGATGAGGAGGTGTCGGCGTTCTGGCGATTTACTCTGAAGGCTTCAGTAGAAGCTGCTGGGAGTCCCAGCAGCTTCTACTGAAGCCAGTCCCCAACTCCGGGGACTTCCGGCCGGGGACTCCGGGTGGCAGTATACGCCGTGAAGTGGTTTGCGGCCTGCCAGTAAACCCAAAGCAGAAGAAGACGAAGTGACGTCAGCAGCTCATTTGCGTAATCTTCCCTCAGGGAACTTATTCCGGTGTGAACGCGATCTGTAATAAGTGCCCTGGGGTAATAAGTGCCGGCACTAAGTACGGCAAAGTACTTGGTGTGAACGCGGCTATAACAGCAGGAAACACATTTAGAGAAATATTTCACGCATTAATGAATTTCTTACCTTGTGTTCATGATGGCCAGGTTCAGCCTCCATGTGACGTTTGTCCTTTAAAAACATACAAGTAAATATTGTTATAATGGTGAATCTATTTAACATTTCATAAAGTATTCACTATGACTCATCCATGCAGATTATGGTCAACATGTACAGAGTGGAAGAAGGAAGAATGAAACATCCATTTATTAGATTTTTATAAATCAAGTAACAGAAAAGTCATGTTTTTAACCCTCACAGTGGGAGGATGATTTGTGCCACTCAGAGGATCGAACCGTAAACTTTGTAACCCTTTATTCGTCAGGGGAACTTGTTTTTATAAACTAAACACCGGTCAAAAGTGTTGTCAAGAAGCAGACAACCCTAACTGACTCCATCCACCCTCAGTAACATGAACTAACTTTATCAGACTTTTCTTCTCCATCTCAGCGACCTTGGTGAGGTGCAGACCTTTAGAAAAGGGAGATGAAGACATGACGCCTCTTCTCTAATACCTACACACACTCACACACACAAAGGTTTCATTCATAACCTCCCTATCTTCTCCCCCGCTATCTTGCTCTCCCCTTCCGTCTCACCCAAGGTCTCTCAGAATAAAAGCAAATATATGCATTTGTTACTTCAAGGCTGGATTATTGTAACTCTTTATTATCAGGGTGTACCAAGAAGTCAGTTAAGTCGCTTCAGCTGATTGAAAATGCTGCAGCTCGTGTACTAACCAGAGTTCGGAAAAGAGACCACATTACTTCTGTTCTGGCTGCCTTACACTGGCTCCCTATAGAACACAGGATAGAATTTAAAATTCTTCTTCTCGTCTACAAAGCCCTTAATGGGCAGGCGCCATCTTACCTTAAAGAACTCATTATACCCTACTGTCCTACTAGGGCATTGCGTTCCAAGAATGCAGGGTTGTTGGTTGTTCCTAGAGTCTCTAAAAGTACAATGGGAGCCAGAGCCTTTTCTTATCAAGCTCCACTTTTGTGGAATCAGCTTCCAGTTTGTGTTCGGGCGGCAGACACCCTATCCGTTTTTAAGAGTGCGCTTAAGACCTTCCTTTTTGATAAAGCTTATAGTTAGGGCTGATTAGATTCAGTCCCTAGTTTTGCTGCTATAGGCTTAGACTGTCGGGGGCACCTTACTTCTTCCTTCTCTCTGTCTGTACCTGTGTACTCTCATGTTCCCAATAACCCAGCTTCCCCCAAATTTCTTTTTGGTGTCTATCTACGCTGGGATCCTGAGTCGTGGCTGATCCTGAGTCCTGAGTCCTGATCTGAGTCCTGATATGAGTCCTGATCTGAGTCCTGGATTTCGAGTCGTGGCTGAACCTGTCACTGTGGTCCTGCCTGACTCTCATCAAACTACTTCCCTGATGGCTCCCACAGGATTGTTGACATCCTCATGGATTCATCTTCTTATTATACTGTAGGCACATGCATTTCCAAACATTTGGTCTACCTATGTTGTAAATGTATTATCTTTTTGATTTACACACGGCATCTACTGCACGTCTGTCCGTCCTGGGAGAGGGATAGCATTTGCCTCCTCACGATGTGACGCACGCACGCACGCACCCAGTGGTTTATCGCTAACCTCCATGTGTCGGTCCAGTTCTTTCAGCAGCGTGGGGTATCTCTCCAGTCTGGTGAAGGGTTTACTCAGGTTAGTGGTCAGGGTCAGGATCCCTGGAGAGGACGCCCCCTTCGACTCCATGTATTCCCCCAGATCCTCACTGTGATGCACACACACACACACACACACACACACACACACACACACACACACACACACACACACACACACACACACACACACACACACACACACACACACACACACACACACACACACACACACACACACACACACACACACACACACACACACACACACACACACACACACACAGGCTGTAAGGCCACTTGCCGAGACCTCCTAGAGTTAATTAAGGTGAGCCAATTATTACCGTGGGGCTGTCAAACATACTTGTGTGACCATATGTAGCGTACAACACAAAACACCTACGCACACATTATGTAGAGAGCACACACTCTTTATCTCCTCACTGTGCACTGATGATCACTGAAATGCAGAGATTTGTGTGTCGAAGAGCTGCAAGTGGAATTATCTATACAAATATTGGTCAAATCTTTTGAATAAGGCTTATTTTAATGCAGAAAAAAGCTTTATGAAACCACTGATAGGTAGTAACTTGCTGCAAATTAACACTAAAAGTTCAGCTTTCAGTCAAAAGTCATGACAATCCATTATGAAATCTGTGAAGATACACTACTCCTGATTTTTCATCAATATTTCTCTCACGATAACACTGGATAAAGCACTCTGGCATCTATGGGAAGCACTAGCAACAATTTAGCCTTTTCCCTTTTTCATTTCCTTTAGGAAAAATGTTATATTTCTCGCATCAGATCAACAAAAGTACCTAAAATAACAACAGTTTTAACCTTCAGTGTCCTGTGACGATGGGCACACTATTCCATAAGTCATCGAACGTTTGACCTCCTGCCTCCTCCTCTCCACATTTAATATCACACAGATCATTTCACTTATTAAGGAGAAAAGAAAATCAATAGGATGTCAATGCCTGTCTTTCAACACACACACACACAAATACACACACTTGACACACTCATATGAAATCTCAGAATGCTTTGTGGAAGATAAAAGGTGATGGTTATCAGACACTGTAGGAAATTAAAGGGATGGTCCAGCGCTAATATGCAGATGGATGATAGTCACACACACACACACACACACACACACACACACACACACACACACACACACACACACACACACACACACACACACACACACACACACACACACACACACACACACACACACACACACACACACACACACACACACACACACACACACACACACCTCTAGATGCGGTTACAGCATGTTACTGTAGTGTGTGTGTATATGCTATCAATAATCTGGCTTAACGTGTGTGTGATGAGGAGTGATTGAGGTTGTGGGGATGATTGTCGGTGTGTGTTTGTGTGTGTGATTGTAGGTGTGTGTTTGTGTGTGCACAGTTTGACACACACCACTTTTTTAGAAGTCGATAAGATCAGGCAGCTGCACAAAAAAAAACTCCTAATTTTAGCTCATATTTTGTCAGGATTTAAAAGCTATAAATATTCTACTGTACAGAAAAACCTTTGTTAAGTGTATTGTGAATGCTGTGTGCTTAAGTACGTAATGTTAATCCTGAACCCCCTCCTGGGTGGAGATTTAGAGAAGCAGCAGCTCTAACAGTGAGAAATGATTGTATCTCTGCTGCTGGTGAGTCAGGTGATGACATAACCATCGGTGGGCGGTTATAACTACCATTTTTTTGCAGCATGCTGTCACTTTATGTAGTGTACGCTGTTTTTTCAGGGGTTTTTTGCACGGTAATGCATAGGGGTTTAACATTATTTGACTAAATCAATTTCACATTGCTGGAGGTCACATGGGATAATAGCCAAACAACATGTAATGGGCTTCATTTCTATATGCAGTGGCTCAGTCAGTAGGGGCTTGGACTGGGAGCTGTAAGGTCGCTGGTTCAAGTCCCCAACCAGACCTAAGATATGGAGTGTGGACTGCTACTTGGTGAGGTCCCAGTTCACCTCCAGCCCTGCCGTGGTGCCCTTGAGCAAGGCACCGGACACCCCCCTTCCCCCCCCCCACTCCAATTGCTTCCCGGGCGCTGTACAATAGCTGGCTGCTAGTACTAGACTCCTGGTACTAGGATGGGTTAAAAGCAGAGAACAAATGTCACTGTGTGTGCTGTGTGCTCTGCATGTGTGACCATTATAGAGGGTTTCATCCCTCCATATTCTAATAACTCATTGAGATATTGGATCTACAGTCTGTCTCCAAACAAATATCACTGTGCATTTTTTAGAGAGATAATTGTCTTGATCTTTACTGCCGTGTGTGTGTGTGTGTATGTGTGTGTGTGTGTGTGTGTGTGTGTGTGTGTGTGTGTGTGTGTGTGTGTGTGTGTGTGTGCGTGTGTGTGTGTGTGTGTGTAGCCCAACACAAACAGAGAATACCGTGTGCTCCATCATGTGCACCACTTCTCCTCGTTAAGCCTCACATTATACACACTCTGTGGCAGTAGCAAAATACACGAGCGCTGACAGAAAGAAAGATCCAAGTTTTAGGTTTACATAAAAAAATTTACAGAAAAAAGGTCACTATAATTAATATTCGAGAGGCTTATGAAAACATTATTTTGTGTTTCCAGTTTAACGGACAGTCAAGGGAAACATGTTGTTTTTAAAACTACAAGTAAGTTGTCACTGGATCTCCGTGCTGTGGAAAATGTTGCATAAAATACGTTTTCAATATTTTATTAGCTGCAAAAGGGTTGAAAGACATGAGAAAAGAAAAATACAGACGTTTTTTTATGTGAAATGTATAGTTTTACCTCCTCGGCCTCGACAAAAGTCTGGAGTTAAGAAAAATCACTGAACTGAACGACATATAACTCACAGGTATGCATCTATCGACCACATGTGATGGGTCCTTCTGAAGGTGTAGAAGATTACACAGTTTGTCCCTTCTGGGTTTCCATACCTCTTCTAATTGCCTCTGAACGTGTTTAAGGTGATGTTTGAACGCTAACCCTTCACTGACAGCAGAGAACGCAGAAATTACAGAAGTACGCAAACAGTACCTGAGAAACACATTTCAAATGTCAAATATAAGGAAGGAACGGCAACGTATTCACACAGGCACAAAGACAAACTCAAACGCCTACTTGACACAGCTTTTTTCTTTACCATAGCAGACTCCATATGTTTCTTTAAAACAACTCCAAGAAGCTGAAAGCCTTACAAATGAAAGATGAGCGACACATTTAGACAGAGAGAGACAAAGCTAAGAGAACAGAAAGCGAGTCCGGGCCACGATGTTGTTATTACAGATTGATATACTCTTCAGGTCCCTTTTATTCAAGCAGCTCACCTCTCAAAATCAGATGCTTGGAGCTCTTTTGATGACTGCTTTGAGCTAAATGTGTGTTATTACAGGTATTACGTGAAATTGCCCGTGTTAGGTGAAGGGGATTACGCCGCTTTTGGGTCAATACTTCCTCTGAGCTGTTTGGCTGCTGGAGCTGAGCAGCGATTAGGCTTTTGTCTGTCAATCCGACTTCATAGAGGCCGTTATCACACACACACACACACACACACACACACACATACAGTAGATACACCTAACCACCACCTACCGTCACACACACTCTGCGATTATGGACGTAGGTATATGGGGCCCATTCAGCATGAGAGGTGTCAGATGTGCTGAGCTGAAATGATTACTGGATAGGAGAAAATGTCAAAAAGACTGGAGGTATTCATCTCTGTAAGGGTATTACTGCAGGGGGGCTGGATTTACAAATGCAGGTTTTATTAGAATTAGGGATGCACATCTAATTGAAATTTGAATGTAAATGGCAAGATGGGATATAGCATTGTACAAAACAACAGCGGCAAAATATGTGTAAATATCTCTTTTCTAAATTAAGGATGTCCCAGCCTATAAATCATATTCTAAGGACTTAATAAAATATCTTTCTTTAGGGAAGATCCTCTTAAAGAAATGCCACCATGATCATTATAAATATGTCCTTTAATTATTATTAAACATCCAATTCAATTAATCATATCGCAATATCAGTCAAAAATAATCAGAATTAGTCACATTTTCCAAACTGTGCAGCCCTTATTGCATAAAGAGATATTTAGAGTGACAGGAAATGTAGAAAGTAGTTTTGTGCATTATTGTAGTAATGGAGATTTTTGAAGTGTATTGAATTTAGCAGCTCTTGTTCCCTCTTACAGGATAATTTGGAGATAACAGCACTTAAGGCCCTGCACTCCTCAGAGGTGATACCGGCTTTTAATTGGTGAGCCATCAGGTCATTAATTCAGAGATGTTAGTGTAATTATTGTAAAAGAACTAGACCTTGTTAAAGATTCAGAGTTTCGATGTTGCAATTAGCATTTTACATTTCGTCTGTGGGCGAGACACACATTGGTGTAAAGTATAGGTGCTGCAGTTGTTATTAACAGAACCTCTTTATAACTATATTAATATGATACAATAACTATTCAGCATATTATATGTTCAACAGGGACACTCTGAATGGTACGAAGTGAATGGCCAGAGGAAAATGTTTACAGATTTTGTTCATTTTCTAGCATATATGTAATGTCTTAATCTCTTATTAAACCTCTTTAAACCACCCTGACTTCATTTTATTCCCTTATTCTACGTCTGATTTGAATAAAGTACTCTTATCTGGCTAATGGAACAAATTAATAATTAATGAACAGTATCACTGACATAATAAGGAGGCTATTAGCTTTTTTCTACCATTTGTTCACAACGACTCCTCACAAAGGCATCGGGATTAATGTGATAATGAAGTACTGCTCTTTTAAAAAACCAACCAACCAAAGCTTTTTTGTATTTTTCACTTTGGATTGTTTTATTAATGTACTTTTTGGACGTATCTGTGGTATTAATACGCCGCAGAGTGATGTTATTAGGGTCTGCTCACAGTAAGGGGCTGAGCTGTGGAGATTTCCACTTTACTTTTGTGTGGGTTAATGAAAAAAAAAAACCCTGAGCCTAATGGGATTTGGTGATAAGAAATTACCAGCGCCGGTCCTTCTCCTTTGTCTCTCGCTGCCAGTTCAACGG